GGGAGCAGACAGCTCCTTCCTCTGCACACGCGGAGCAGACAGCTCCTTCCTCTGCACACGGGGAGCAGACAGTTCCTTCCTCTGCACACGGGGAGCAGACAGTTCCTTCCTCTGCACACGCGGAGCAGACAGTTCCTTCCTCTGCACACGGGGAGCAGACAGTTCCTTCCTCTGCACACGCGGAGCAGACAGTTCCTTCCTCTGCACACGGGGAGCAGACAGTTCCTTCCTCTGCACACGCGGAGCAGACAGTTCCTTCCTCTGCACACGCGGAGCAGACAGCTCCTTCCTCTGCACACGGGGAGCAGACAGCTCCTTCCTCTGCACACGCGGAGCAGACAGCTCCTTCCTCTGCACACGGGGAGCAGACAGTTCCTTCCTCTGCACACGGGGAGCAGACAGGAAGCTTTTGCCTCACCTTCCTCACATGCCCTGCAGCCACGTCTCCCCAGATTAGATTTGAGGAGAATGAAACTTTGGTCTTCACTGCGGACACACTACCAGGTGCTCCAAAGCCACGGCCTCTCCTTGGGTGGGTCCCGAGGAGAACAAAGCTCCACTTCTAACCCTAACCCTGTCCCTAGGCTTTGATTCTGATGCTAAACCCTGATCCATACCCTGGTCCCTAATTCTGACCCTGACCATGACCCCACCTCTAACCATACTTCCAGCCCTGACCCTGACCCAGACCCTAATTCTAACCCGAACCCTATTATTATCTTTACGATCTAGCTCTAATCTTACCCTCTAGAGCTAAATAACTGTACCCAAAGGCACTTTTGGATTATTTAACTTGTTTTACTCTAATTCTCTAAGGACATCCTAAAGGAGATGTCATTATGTATTCTGCAGTCCCTCTGAGCGGTATGGCTGCAGATAAGAAGTTCTAATACTTTGCAAGACAGAAGAAGCGTGAAGGGCAGCAGCACTGGGTTGTCGGGAATGCATGCTGGCATTCACGATAGTCATCGGTGCTGTTCTCCAAACATTCTCAGTTCATTTTTTATGAATGCACTCTGTTCTATCCCAGCTACTTAAATTTTTGCACGGCCACATTACTTTTCTTTTGCCATTGGAGGCGAGAAGAAATAGCATATGACTTTTTCAGGAGAAATCTCCAAGAGTTCTATTCAGCATGCTTTTGTCTTTTCTATAGCAATGGGGATGTTACTGATGGTACTTCCTTCAGCCTGGATTCCTGTGTTAGGACGACACAGCACAGAACTACCTCTCACCTGACCCATGATGAGATAAAAATAAATGAGGAAGAAGAGTTTTGAGCCACTGAAATTTGGAGGTTTGTCACCATGGTTTAACCTAGCCCTCACTGACATGCAGGGCTGAAGAATGAGTCAGAACTGGGTCTGGACATGTAAAGGGCACTCCTTAGGGTAAGTAAAATTCAAGTCTTGTTGCAAAGATAACAGTGAGCATGATGTGTTAGTAGGGTGAGTGTGGGATAAATAAGGTTTCTCAAGTGAGAATAATGAGAAACTCGACTTTAAAAGACAGTGCTAACTTGGACTGTGGAGAGATTCCAATGTCCTACTTAGCACTTGAGATTGTGATGGCTGAACAGACTCATTAAGAACCCTAAATGAAGGCTTGGGATAAATATCTGAGGGCGTCTAATATCCCAATTTTTCATCCTAGAATGGGCAGAGTCCTTAACCCCATTCTAGGGAGACTTCCAAAGGAAAAAAGACCTGCATTTCCCCAACAACCCACACTGAGAGACTCTCCTGCACTTCTGACCTGTGGCTAACACTCCTCACCTTTCATTCTGTCCTCAGTGTTTTGGGGAAACATCTTTAACTCTCTATAACTTACACAGGTTACTAAGTGGCCCTTATCATTCCCTCCAGAGATAGAAGAGACTAATGATGAGGGAGCCTGAGCTCACAGCAGCAAGCGGGCACGTGTGCTCAGCAGCCATGTGGCTCATCTGCTAGATCACAACATACGACGTTCTGCAACACTGCTTAACACAAGGGGACACTCTCCTGACTCAGAAGGTTTAATTGCTTGTCTTTTTATAGTTGAAAGTTGGGGATGCCAGTGATTTTCCACACAGCCAGCAGCTAATAATCGAAATGTGGTTTTCACCGTGTTTTGGGATTTACTCAGGGGTGGCTGGCAAAATATGAGGGAAATATTAGGGAAGGTTGGAAGATTATAGTCTCTAACCCAAAAATATATAAAATTAGCCCTACAAATTTGAAAAAGTCCAGTTTCTTTGTGAAATAACAGTATAAAACATGTTATTTTTCACCAAAATTTGAAATAAGTTGGGAACCTCTGCAGCTCAGCCACTGGCTGATGCACTGTTGCAAAGCTGCACTCCAACTTTCTCACTTCTGAGTCCTGCTTTCTCTTTTTTTTGAGATGGAGTTTCACTCTTGTTACCCAGGCTGGAGTGCAATGGCGCTATCTTGACCTCCACCTCCTGGGTTCAGGCAGTTCTCCTGCCTCAGCCTCCTGAGTAGCTGGGATTACAGGCACGCACCACCATGCCCAGATAATTTTTTGTATTTTTAGTAGAGACCATGTATTTTTAGTAGTTTCACCATGTTGACCAGGATGGTCTTGATCTCTTGACCTCGTGATCCACCCACCTCAGCCTCCCAAAGTGCTGGGATTACAGGCCTGAGCCACCGTGCCCGGCCACTTCTGCGTCCTACTTTCTTCCCAGGTACTCCTGCTGAGTTTGAGCCTCAATAAGGAACTCAAGTAAGTGCCACTGAAAACACCGCAGTATCTTTGCCTGCCTAGTTTGCAAGATTAAAAAGACTGATAAAGTTGACTGTTGGTGAAAGCTGCAGGTACTCTCTTGCTAACCCTAAACCCTGACTGACCCTGACTGACCCTGACCTCATGCCACTCCTCCCACAACCCCTCAGGTATGTCCCATTTCTGCTAAATTTCATCCTCCAAACTTCTAAGCCTTAACACTCTAAATACAAAACCAACATATAGGCAATCCCAACCCCAATTTAATACTAAATTATACAAGGAAATGAAATCACAACAGAAAGGCATAAATCAATGTCTAGCATAATTATACAATAATGCTCAACAAAAGAATCATAATTTGATACTAAGACGTATTTGAAGTATTACAGACCACGATCACTACATCCTTTTCTCAGAAAATCAAGCTGGTTTTGCAGACTAAAGCCATCCTGCAAATAAACATCAACTAAGCAGAATGAAGAAGCTGCTCTAAATTGAGATCCTGTTAATTCAATTTAACTTCATATAAATCCTGTGAGGCAGGCATTGCTGTTATCGCCCTCACTTTACAGATGAAGAAACTGAGATGATGCATGGCACAGAGCAGCCCCTGTTGAATTTTTTTCCTGGCACCCTGGCTGGCAGTGATTGAAATTGAGCTTTCAAGGCTCTTAACACTTTCAAGGCCCTTAACACTTCCATGTCAAGCTTTATCGCCCTGTACTAAGTCCCTATCTCCCCACCAGGAGGACAGGGGTGGGGGGTGGGAGATGCTCAGAGGACAGTAAGCAAGTCCGATTCATTTGTGTTACCTGAACCTAATCTAGGGTCAACCTGGCACAAGGGGGCCTCAGGAAATAAATTCAACAAATGAACCAACACACACAGATGAACAGAAGTGGCCCACAGTGAGGCTTAACAGTGACCTCGTCATCTAATCTGAAAGGAAGGCACCATGGTTTCCTGTTATGGGGAAAGAATCGGGCTACAGGGTGCATGGGGTTCTTCTCACATCATCACCCACCATAGACCTCTACATCCTGGGGATCTCTGTACATCTGTCTTTATGAGGCTCTGGGCCCTTGATCTAGAGGATTTTTTTTTTTTTCTTGAGACAGTGTCTCACTCTGTTGCCAGGCTGGAGTGCACCTGTGCAATCTTGGCTCACTGCAACCTCTGCCTCCCAGGTTCAAGGGATTCTCCTGTCTCAGCCTCCCAAGTAGCTGGGACTAGAGGCACATGCCACCACACCCAGCTAATTTTTATATTTTTAGTAGAGATGGGGTTTCACCATGCTGGCCAGGATGGTCTTGATCTCTTGACCTTGATCTGCCTGCCTCGGCCTCCCAAAGTGCTGGGATTACAGGGGTGAGCCACCATGCCGCCTAGAGGAATTTTAAGCCTTGGTTTTTTGAAGACCCAGGTTTGGGGACCTGGGTCTCGAGGGTCTCAGGTATCTGAGTCCTTAGACTCCTTGTGCCCCCATATTTGAGTCTCTGGGGTTTCCAAGGCCCTTGGGCTTTGTGGAGAGGGTGGAGACCTCCAGATCCCTGTGTTTTAAGGCTACACATGGTTGTCTCCAAGTCTACTGGTTCTCTCAACTTCTTTGGTGCCAGGAGTCTGAGTTTTTAAACCCCTTCATCTAAAGGGCCTCAGTCTCTGAGCCTCTGGGCTCCTGGGTTCAGTTAGAAGGGTCTTTGGATCCTTCCGTTTAGAGAGTCTGGGGTCTCCATGACCCTGGGTCCACCGACCACTGGATCAGAAGCCTGAACCTTTGGATCCCTCAGTCTTGAAACTCAGGACCTCTGGGGTGCCCAGGGTCTCCAGATTCAGTCAAAAACATTCTAACCTGTTCTCTGTCCTCTAGTTCCACCTCCCACTCCACGTGAAAGTAGTGGGTGGACGTCCGTTTCACTGCCCGGCGTCTGGGTTACCTTTCATCACTTTCTCTCGTCATTGCCCCAGTCCTCGCTCCAATCAGTGTTTTACAAGTCCTATGGGAACTACCTTCAAAATAGACCGCAAATTTACTTTCTTCAGTCGTACCCACTATCCAGAGCCAACAGCACGTGCAGACACCACACCCCCAATCGCTGACATCTGACGCACGTGCAGAGTCCCTTAGCCTGCACCCGACTCCCTTTCCCAATTCGACCTGCGCACGAGCAACACCACTGCCTTGCGTGCACGTAGAACGCCACGCCAATCCTCGGAGTCTGTTCTGCGCAGGCGCTGTCTGCGCCTTTTACACTTGCGACCCACCCCAGCAACCCCGCCTCAAAGGGCAGAAATCATATGCCCTACACTCCCCTTAAAATCCTGTAATAATCCCACAAGCCAGCTAATCAGAATACTACTACTTCGCTTATCCAGCAACGTGAACCTACTGGTGACAGCACGCCGCCATGGCAACAACAGTACACACAGTTCCGCGGCTCCCCGCGTCCGCGCGCAGGCGCAGAAAATAAACGGGGGCAGTGCATTTTGGGAGCAGCAGAAAGAGCAAGGGAAGTGTTTCTGGGAGTTGTAGGCCAAGCGGGACCTCAGAGCCACGGGCGCAGAAAGCAAAAGGGGCAGTGCATTTTGGGGGCGGCAGAAAGAACAATGCAAATGTTTCTCGGAGTTGTAAGCTAAGCGGAACCCCGGAGCCATTGGCACATCCAGCGGAGCTGCCGCATGGGATTCTGGGAGCTGTAGGCAAGGAAGTCCCAAGACATCGTGGGAGTGGTAGTCTCGGAGTAGTCACTTCCGTGCCAGGCTTCCGCGTGGTGGGCTGTGTGGACGTTCCAGCACTGCGTTCTGCCCGGGTGAGTTGTCCTGCGGTGGGTTGTCACGTGGACCCCGGCTCTTTGTTGCGGTGCCGTGGGAGGGTTGAAGGTCTCTCCGAGCGTGAGACGCTTCTGTGATTTCCCAGCGCGGTGTCCCTGAGGCCTTACAGCCAGGATTCCCACTTTGGACGCTGCGGTCTGGCCTGTCTCTTGCCAGGCCACCCCCTTCCCCAAGACAGGATATGACCATCTCCCTGTCCCCGCCCCCATGCCACACTCTCAGTCCTTTTGAAAGGCTGCAATCCAGAGGCATCCCTGGGATCCGCGGTCTCTCTTTTGGGAGTATTTATTATTCCCTCATCCTACAGATACTTACTGAGTACCGACTCTGCGCAAGTTCCAGGGTGGGCAGCAGGCCAATCCTGCCCCTGCCTTGAAGAAGCAGAAAGACAGACCTGTCACCAGTGACAGTGTGTCAGGATCGGGGCCGGTATGGAGGCCCACATGCAGCTCTGGGGGCCTTGGTGGAGGCACCCGACTCAGTGACCCGGGTCCTTGAAGTCTTTGAGGGAAGACGTTTAACATGCACGTCAAACCTGACATGTCCGCATGGAATTCCTGGTCTTCTCACCTCAAAACATGGCCCCACCATCCCCCCAGTGCTCAGGCCAGAACCTCGAAGTTACCCTTCATCACTTTCTCTCATCATTGCCCGAGTCAATCTGCCTGGCTTGACCCTGGGAGGCAGAGGTTGCAGTGAGCCAAAATTATGCCACTGCACTTTCGCCTGGGTGACAGAGTGGGACTCCATCTCAAAAAATTTTAAACTTAAAATATTTTTTAAAGACTGGAAAGAGATGGGTGGTAGGCAGGACCTGAAAACATGAAAAGGCCTCCCCAGAAGAGAATTGAGCAAAAAATCCAGGAGCACAGAAGGAGGAGTGAGTCAAAAACGGGGGGAGGAAAGATTCCAAGGAGTGCTGCAGCCATCTGGGAGAGAGACCTGACTAGGGTGCTGTCATGGAGATGGTCAGAAGGGTTTGGTTGTTTTGAAGCCATATTCAAATAGGATTTGCTATTTCATTTAGGTACCTGGAGTTTGAAAAGGTCCGTAAGTTGGCATTGCAGTTTGGTGCCACTCCCTGGGAGCATGACAAGTGTAATAATGAGGGAAACAGCAGTCCAGTTTCCTGAATTCCAAAGTTTCTGGCCTGAGCAGCTGGATGGATGGAGCTGCCTTGTGTTCCAGAAGAAGCCCGTTGAGTTAGAGGAATCAGGAATTTGGGTTTGGAGATGCCTGTTAGACATCTGAGTGGCTCTGGCCTCTGCCCTCAGATAAGTTAGAGACAGTAAATATAGTCACATAAAATAATTCCACACATTGTGGTAAGTCCTAGAAGCAATGTGACCTGCTCTGAATGGCAAGGAGACAAGTACTCCAGGCTGGAGGTGATGGTGGCTTGGGGAGGGGAACTGAGCCTGGGGAGTTTTTGTGGGTTCACCAGGCAGGGAGGACCAAGATTTGACTGGAGGTTTGGAGTCTTGGCTGGGTGGGGAAGGATGAGGTAGGAAAGAAGACGGATGGAGGTCAAAGACGGGCTGATCCATGTCTTGACGAGGCCACAGAAACTTGTGGGGGATTCTGATACCAGAGCAGGGTTGACTTCAGTCTTGGAGGCCCACACATTCTTTCATCCCCAAAACAGGTGCAACCCCAGCTGGTCTCCCGAGAGGTGTGATCCAGGCTACCTGTGTGTTCCCTGGAGAAGGTGATCACCCTGCCTTTCACAGGATGCAGTCAGAACCCATTCCTGGAGACTGTATCACACCCTACAGAGTGAAATCAATTGGCCTTTCCTGTTTTCCACCTTCCCCTGAACACAGCTTCAATCCCCTGGCCTCCCTCTGCCCTTAGAGTCATAAATCCCTCACCTCCCAACCTCTCTTAACAGCCCTGGTGACCCAGGCCAATGATATCTACCTTGTCCTGATCTAGGCTATAAGGGTGGCCTCCCAGGAGGTTGTGACAAACGGTCCTTAATATACACCCCATCCCTCCGGATAAGACACAACCTAATCTTGGGTATAACCTGTTTGTCCTCCCTCTCTTTAGCCCTGAAGCCAGCTTCTTAAGCTACTTCTCTTCTTGGTGCATAATGGTGCAATCCAAGAAGCCTTCCCTAAGGCAGTGGCTTCCTTACACCAGGACCCACTTATAACCGTCCCGTCTCCAGTGCTAGAAGAAGCCACTCTACTCGCGCACAAGTCTCCCTGGTCTATTCCGGCCAGAGGTGCAATCCTGACAATCTCCCTGAAGGCAAGGACCCTGCAATCTGGAATCCATACGTAACCCACCTCCTCTCAAACCCTGTCTAGGAGAAGACGACGCCTCCCGCAATGCCCGCCCCACCGTGTACCTCCTGCCACGCGGCACGCGCTGCCCTCCGCCGTCCGCGCTCGGGCCAAGCGCTGTGCGGTGCCTGCTTCTGCACCGCCTTTGAGGCCGAGGTGCTGCACACAGTGCTCACAGGCCGCCTGCTGCCGCCTGGCGCAGTGGTGGCTGTTGGCGCCTCGGGCGGCAAGGACTCCACGGTGCTGGCGCATGTGCTGCGCGAGCTGGTGCCACGCCTGGGCATCTCATTGCAGCTCGTGGCCGTTGACGAGGGCATCGGCGGCTACCGGGACGCGGCACTGGCGGCCGTGCGGCGCCAGGCGGCGCGCTGGGAGCTACCACTTACCGTCGTGGCCTACGAAGACCTCTTCGGGGGCTGGACAATGGATGCGGTGGCCCGCAGCACAGCTGGCTCTGGCCGCAGCCGCTCCTGCTGCACCTTCTGCGGGGTGCTGCGTCGCCGGGCGCTGGAGGAAGGGGCACGCCGCGTGGGAGCCACGCACATCGTGACGGGTGAGCGCAGGCGCAGTCACGGAGCAGCATGCTCAGAGGCAGTGGGGCGCATGCACGGGCCAGGGGGCGGGGCCTGAAAGGGGTCTCGTGCGCATGCTCCAGAAGCGGGGGAGGAGACCTTGGGTGTGGCTTAACGGGAGGATCCTTATAAGGAGATGCGGAAGTGCGCATGCTCCAGTTGGTGCTTGGGCCCTCTGAAGGTTCTAGACACTGGGGAGACCGAGGGGCCAGGCAGGGATCATGAAGGTTTTTGGGTCTTGGCCACAGTCTTGGTCTGCAGAGATTGCCAAACGGGTGGGAGGTGAAAGTCTCTGGAGATTAGATCTCAGGTTCTTCGCTTATTTTCAAGTGTTTCTAACATGCTTGATCTCTATGGTCCACCTTTCACAATCCAGCTCTGTCTCTAAAAAGCATCTCTGTCTCTTAATTCCTTTTCTTTGTTGGTCTCTCCTTTCTTTTTTATTCTCTGTCTTTTCATCCATTCCTTCAACAAACAGATGCCGAGTTTCTGCTATATGCCGGATCCCCTGTGGCCAAAGTTCTTAACTATGTACTGTTTCTCTCCATCCCTAAACCAGGAGTATGAACAGTACCCAGCTCATAAACTCATCTAATTGTTATTATAATTAGAAGTACATCTATTTTCTAGTTATGTTACATAACCTGTATGATATAGCATAGATTACACATTTTATATGTGCTATATTGTCATCATCGTCAGGCTAGGACTGAGAATACAGTTATACACAAGTTCCTACCTTTGCATGGTTATCAAGTACAAAATTATAAACACTATACATGTTATTGACCATATATGGACATGTTAAAGACTATGTGTACACACAGAGAACTCTATGATGTGGAAGGAGTGGGGTCAGAGAACTATTTTGAAATCCGAAGGTGAAGAGGTAACGGGGGTAGAATTGGGGAGAGGTTGTTGGCCTGTACAAAAGCCAATTTGGGCTGCCCTAAGAAGTCCAGTGTGGCTGGATCCCAGAAAGCAAGGGCAGGAGAGGTGGAAGATGTCAGGCATTACCCTGTAGGCTGTGGTGGAACCAGCAAAAGTGACAAGAAGGGAGTTTCACTTTGAAAAGCTCACCCAGGCCATAGTGAGGAACCTGGGTTGGAGGGGCAGGGACAAAGCCAAGGAGACCAGTCAGTGGGAAGCCAACTGCAGTCATGGAGGTGAGAGTGGTGGTTGGAGAGAATCAGCACATTCGGAGGGTATGAAGGCAGAAGTCTTTCTGAATCTGTCATCTGCCACTGTGCTAGGGCATCAGCTCTGGGGAAGGCTTACTGAGCTTCATTCACTGGTGTGGCCCCTTCCTTACTGAATAACTTTGGAGAAATCCCTAGATCTCTGTGATTGAAAATGGGAACAATAATCCTTTCCATACGAGAGCAGTGTATGGAAAGAATGAGAGGCTTGGGTCCGGCACCATGGCTTACGCCTGTAATCTCAGCACTTTGGGAGGCTGAGGCAGGTGGATCAGGAGGTCAAGAGTTCGAGACCAGCATGGCCAACATGGTGAAACCCCATCTCTACTAAGAATACGAAAATTACCCGAGCATGGTGGCAGGCCCCTGTAATCCCAGCTACGTGGGAGGCTGAGGCAGGAGGACTGCTTGAATCCAGGAGGCAGAGGTTGCAGTGAGCCGAGATCACGCCACGGCAACTCCAGCTTGGGCGATAGAGCAAGACTCCGTCTTGGGGGCGGGGTGGGAGAATGAGAGCCTGCCTCAGGTTTTAAAGTTAATTTGATAGAATCACTTAGTAATTGTACTTCTAAAAGTAATGAAGGCTTCCAGAAAAATCCCTAACTTGGAAGGTGATTTTTCCCTTTGTTTATATGCTCTATTTCCAAAGGCAGAGTATAGTGATTGTTGTAATAATTATTACAAAATTGGGAGCTCCTAAGTGGGTTTGCAATGACAAGGTGTGGAGCAAATCCAGTCTCTCCTAATGGATGTGGTTTACAACTTTAAGTCAGTAGTAAACATTTAACCAGATGTCATTTCCAGTAGCAAACATGCTAATCTCAAGGTCACAGGGCTTGGCAGTTCTTTGGGAGGTCACCGTTGCTACAAACACAATTAGAGCCAAGTTCTTGGAGGATTTTTACCATATAGACCAGGGTCTCTCAACTTCGGCCCTATTGACATTTGGGGCCAGATAGTTTGTTGTTAGGGAGCTGTCCTCTGCGTTCTAGGATTTTAGCAGCATCCCTGGCCTCTACCCACTAGATGCTATTCAATGGTAGCACCACACCCCCAGCCTGACAACCAGATTGAGAAGCACTGATACAGACTCAAGTATAACTTGACAAGACGCAGAACAAGTATAGCTTCAATTTCATGGTGACCAGTGTGTAAATATTTCTCACTGTTATTTCTAAACAAAGATAACAAAAACTCTGCAGCGATTACAGGTGGGGTGGTTCATACTAGTAATCCCAGCCACTCTGGGAGGCGGAGGCAGATGGATCACTTGAGCTCAGGAGTTCACGACCAGCTTGGCCAACGTGAGAAACTCCATCTGTACAGAAATGCAAAAATTAGCTGGGCATGGTAGCGTGCACCTATGGTCCCAGCTACTCTGGAGGCTGAAGCGGGGCAGGGGGCGGGGATCACTTAAGCCTGGGAGACAGAGGTTGCAGTGAGCTGAGGTCGAGCCGCTGTACTCCAGCCTGGGTGCTAAAGCAAGACACACACACACACTCACACACACACACACAAACATAAACTACAGTCTGTGTTGTCGGAGGCCCCGTGTCATTTTTCTCTAGTTGCTATAACAAATTACTTAAAATTTCACAGCTTTAAACAACACAGATTTATTATCTTGCATTTCTGGAGATTAGAAGTCTGGCAGGTCTCACCGGGCTAAAATCGAAGTGTCAACAGTGCCGTGTTTCTCCTGGAGGCTCTTGGGCCAGGGGGTCCATTTCCTCGCCTTTTCCAGCTTCCAGAGGCTGCCCACATTCCTGGCTCATGCTGGCTCATGGCCTCTTCCTCCATTTTCTTGGTTTTTTTTCTTCTTTTGAAACAGAGTCTTGCTTTGTTGCCCAGGCTGGAGTACAGTGGCGCAATCTTGGCTCACTGCAACCTCTGCCTCCTGGGTTCAAGAGATTCTTATGCCTCAACCTCCTGAATAGCTGGGGTTACAGGTGCCCGCCACCACGCCCTGCTCATTTTTATATTTTTAGTAGAAATGGGGTTTCACCATGTTGGCCAGGCTGGTCTCAAACTCCTGGCCTCAGGTGATCCTCCCGCTTTGGCCTCCTAAAGTGCTGGGATTACAAGCGTGAGCCACTGTGCCCAGCTCTTCCTCCGTTTTCAAAGCTGAGGATGGCAGGGTGAGTCCTGCTGTTTTCGTCGCTCTAACTTTGCCTCTTTCCTCACAACCCCCATATGCAGTAGGCGGGTGGCAAATGAGGCCCCCCCAATTTCCCCAGGGAGCTTGTATTACCCCCTTGATTCCTGCTGTGTCCACCTCCAGCCTCCACCTGGCTGTCCCACAGTGCCCAGCAGGGCTCCATGGCCCTGTCTCCCTCTCCTGGACTATGCCCTATGCCCTATGGTGCCCAGGAGAGCTCCATGTCCTTGTGCCCTATGGTGCCCAGGGGAGCTCCATGGCTCAGGCTCCCCCTTTCCCATCTCCCTCTGGGTCCTGGCTGCCCACTATGTTCAAAGGTCTCCTTGGTCCTCTCTCTCCCTCTTCTGCCTCCCTCCTGCACTCTAGGGGTCTTTGTGATTACATGGAGCGCACCTGGATAATCCGCCATACTCTCCCTATTGTAAAGTCGGTTGATTAGCAGCCCCAATTCAACTTGCAACCTTAATTCCCCTTTGCCCTGCAGCCAAACATATCCATAGGTTCCCAAAATTAGGCCATGGACACCCTAGGCGGTGGGGGAGAGGGCAGCCTGCCTACCCCACCAGCTCTGTTAAGAATCTCTGTTAAATGCTATGCTTTAAACACCATCCTGATTACAGTTTTAACTGAGGATAAGGTTATTAGCAGCATAATGCACTTTTACTTCCTATAGAAAAGGGCAACTAGCGTAATGTCCGCTCTGCAGGTCCAAGAGGCATCCCCCCCCAAGTTGCGCCAGGGGAGCTTATGTTTCTCTTTTTTTGTGTGTGTGTGCCCTCCTCCGGCCTGTACCTGGCTGCCTCACGGTTCCCCAGGGGTCTCCATGGCTCTCTCTCCCCTACCTGTCTCTGGATCCTGGCCTTTACACGTTTTTCAGGGGTCTCCATGGCTCACTCTCCCCGTCGCCATCTCTTCTGGGTCCTGGCGGTCCCACTGTGCCCTGGGTCTCCATGGGTCTCCCTCCCAGTCTCACTCTGGGTCCTGGTGGACCCCTGGTTGCCCGGGGGGCTCCCTGACCAGCAGCGCCCTCAGCTCACCCGCTCCCGTCTCTCCCCACCAGGTCACAACGCAGACGACATGGCGGAGACTGTGCTCATGAACTTCCTGCGGGGCGACGCCGGGCGGCTGGCCCGGGGCGGGGGCCTGGGCTCTCCGGGCGAGGGGGGCGCCCTGCCGCGCTGCCGCCCGCTGCAGTTCGCCTCGCAGAAGGAGGTGGTGCTGTACGCGCACTTCCGCCGCCTGGACTACTTCTCCGAGGAGTGCGTCTACGCGCCCGAGGCCTTCCGCGGCCACGCCCGGGACCTGCTCAAGCGCCTGGAGGCGGCGCGGCCGTCGGCGGTGCTGGACCTCGTGCACTCCGCCGAGCGCCTGGCGCTGGCCGCGTCCGCTCGCCCCCCGCGCCCCGGCTCCTGCTCCCGCTGCGGGGCTCTGGCCAGCCGCGCGCTCTGCCAGGCCTGCGCGCTCCTGGACGGCCTGAACCGCGGCCGGCCCCGCCTGGCCATCGGCAAGGGCCGCCGGGGGCTGGACGAGGAGGCGACGCCGGGGACGCCCCGGGATCCGGCCCAGACCCCCACCCCCAAGGCCGTCCCCACCTTCTAGCGACTCCGGGCCTCCCGCCGGGATCTGACGTCCCCCAGGGTGGGGACTGCCTGTAAATGACACTGTGAATAAACCCCCCGTTACCTTGCCCGGCCTTCCATGTGAGGTTGGGAGGGGGACGAGACCCTGGTGACCTGAAATCCTGAAGAAACTGGGACCCCAGACGTCGGGGTCTCAGGGAGGAAGGGTCCCACGCTGGGTTTCTGGCTCTGAGGGAGGAGGGGTCTGGGGGCTCATCCTGGGTCTGAGAGAGGAGAGCTAGGCCTAGAGGAAGTGGGCTGCAGTCCTCAGGCATCTGAACCTGAGGAAGGAGGGCCTGGGGTCTTGGACTCCTGGGTCTCACGGGGGATGGTGCTGAACACCTTGTGATTCCTGAGCGAGTTGGGGTAGGTTGGGGACCACCTGCCTCGTGCTTCTGCTGGTTCTGGGCGCGATCAGCGTGATCCTGACCCTCCTTGAGCACCAGATTCCTGATGTTTCCTGTTTGCCCACAGTGGGGTAAGCAGAGTGACCTGAATTGATGGACACACGCCGTTCACAGCCCCCGTCACGCTGCCTCCCTTACAGCGCCGCATGTGCAGCACGCACTGCACTCTCATTTGGTCTCCACCACTGCCTCACTGGCTTTAGCCTGAGGCGGTAAATGGCCCTAAGACACCCAGCCGGAAGGGGTCAAATCGAGGGCTCCCTCCAGAGCTCTCAAAGATTGAATGAAGGTCGTGGAATGGGCCCTCCCCCACCCATCCCCTCCGGAATCTCTCCTGGTATCTCTGTCATGGGTGAGGAGGGGTTGGGTGGCCTCCCAAACCTTGGACTCTGGAGGCAGGGTTGTGTGAGCCGATGTCAGTGACTTAGCCTCTGATCTTCCATTTCTCTGAAAATGGATCAGTCCCCTCCCCCGCCCCAATTAAGGCACCACTGGGAGGAAATGGAAGCTCAGAAGTGGAGGTGCTGAATTAATGGTGAGCACTTAGCCCTGGTTGTTCATGTTACTATCACCAGGGGGCGCTGGCTTTCAGGGTTGCGGCCCTGTAGATACGGGGAGGTTGTGAGGGTCTCAAGCCCCCTGAGGAGATGGTGCGCTCAGTCCCACCTCCAGGACTTGCTGGGCTGGCTTCCTGTCAGAAATGCCCCTTCTTCCCATCGCCCTGCTCAGATCCTCAAGGGTCCACCTAGAAGGCTTCTCAATTCTGCCCTCCCACCACTCAACCCAGGGCTTAGTATTCTCCCAAACCCCTGCTTCTCAGTCCTGTCCTCACCCTGTGGCCACCCAAACTTGGGCTGGAGGGCAAGGACTTGATTATTCACTGAACACATGTATGAGCACCTTCTTTGCATCAGGCATTCCTCTGGGTTCTAGGAACATGGCAGTGAACAGGAGACAAGGTTCCTGCCCTCATGAAGTTCAGTCTGGGAGAAATGGACAGTAAGCACATCAATATATAATGTCAGGTAGTGATGAGGGCTACAGATTAAAGACGATGAGAGAAAGAAACAGGAAGAGCTCATTTCCACAGGGGTCAGGGAAGGAAGGGCCTTGGAGGAAGTGATGTTATGCGCAGACCTGCAGAAGCAAAAACAAATCATGGGGCCATTTGGGGGAAGAGCTTTCCTGGTGGAGGGAACTGCCAGTGCAAAAGCCCAGAGGTAGGAATAAGCTTGCAAGTGCAGGGAACAACAACTACAGTGTGGCGGGAACAGAGTGGGTGAGGAAGAGACGGGATGAGCCAGTAAGCAGAGGTGGGTCATGCATGGCCTTGTGTTGGTGAGAAAGATTTGTATTTTAAGAGTGATGGTAGGTCTTTGGAGGGCTTTGGACCCAGCAGTGGGTCCAATTTCCATTTTCTAAAAGTTACCCCAGCTGCTGTGAGGAGAATGTGCTGTAGGGGGTGCAAGATGACCGAGATCAGTTGTGCAGGATGACACTTGTGTGCCTGTCCTGGTGCCAAGTGTGCCTTCCTCATTAGCTCATGACATGAGGAATGGGTTTTCAGCACCAAGTTTTTTTAAATTGGTACATAGAAGGATCTAAAAGTTTATTTTTTGTATTTTATTTTTCCCTGAATTATTGGGGTACAAGGTGGTATTTGATTACATGAGTAAGTTCTTTTTTTGAGTAGGAGTTTCGCTCCTTTTACCCAAGCTGGAGTGCAATGGCACAACCTCGGCTCACCGAAACCTCTGCCTCCTGGGTTCAAGCAATTCTGCTGCCTCAGCCTCCCGAGTAGCTGGGACTACAAGCGTGCACCCCCACACCCAGCTAATTTTTTGTATTTTTAATAGAGACGGGGTTTCACCATGTTGACCAGGATGGTCTCGATCTTTTGACCTTGTGACCCACCCGCCTCAGCCTCCCAAAGTGCTGGGATTACAGGCGTGAGCCACTGCGCCCGGCCACATGAGTTAGTTCTTTAGTGGAGATTTGTGAGATTTTGGTGCACCCACCACCTGAGCATATACACTGCACCATATTTGTTGTCTTTTATCCCTCGCTCCCCTCTCACTCCTTCCTACACGTCTCCAAAGTCCATTGTATCGTTCTTATGCCTTTGCATCCTCATAGCTCAGCTCCCACATATCAGTGAGAACATCCGATGGTTGGTTTTCATCCCTGAGTTACTTCACTTAGAATAATAGTCTCCAATCTCATCCAGGTCATTGCAAATACTGTCAACTCATTTCTTTTTATGGCTGAGTAGTGTTCCACTAGATATATATATATCATAGTTTCTTTATATATACATATAGAAATATATATGTATGTATGTGTATATGTACATATACACATATATGTACATTATATAATATATAAATATATACACACTATATATATCATAGTTTCTTTATTCACGTGTTCATCAATGAGCATTTGGGTTGGTTCCTTCAGCACCAATTTCATGAAGGATAAACTTGCAGCCCAGAGAGGTAAAGCAAGCATCCGGGGCCACACTGCAGCCAATCGGGAAAGGAGCTGGGGCTCTTGACCCTTTTGCTGCACTGCCTGTTGGAAGCCAGAAGACCTAGGTTCCCGTTGCTAATGTGCCAGTGATTTACCATGTGGCTTTGGGCAAGGGACCTTTCCCCTGCTGTTTATTGGAGTTTCTCCCTCTGTGTGAGGGAGTGGCCAGTGGTTGGATTTCTTTTGTGGTTTAAGGCACTCTCCGATAGAAAATGCAAACTGTATGTATACTTTAACATTTTCTCCTAGAGAAGGGACACAAGTGACATTTTAATAAATGTATTTGACCCACTTAGACAAAATGTTAGCATTTTAATATATAATCGGTATGTTAAAACTTAAGCCAGATATTTTGTACATTTTTTTGCATATAAAGTTTTCAAATTTCAATGTGAATGTTATACTTCCAGCCCATCTCAATCCAGACTCCTCACACTTCAGCCGCCACTCGGGACTCGCAAGCACTCTACTGGACGGTGCAGATCTGCAAATGTGCTTCCTAGACCCAGACTGCCTGAGGGTCGGAATCAAGCTCTGCTCGGCGAGCTGTGTCACCTTGGGCAGGCTCCTTGGCTGTGCATGTGGGGAGGAGTGGGACTTCTACCGGGTGATTATTGTTAATAAATACGTATCAGTGCTTAGAAGAGTGCCTGGCATTGAGTGAGTGCTTGCCATTCCTCTTAGCCTGGGCTTCAGCCTTCCTCATGGGGGCCTCTGAAGAGCTGGGGGTGCCAGGCGCAGTGGCTCGCGCCTGAAATCCCAGCACTTTAAGAGGCCGAGGCAGGCAGATCACTTGAGGTCAGGAGTTCGAAATGGAACACCGTCTCTACTAAAAATACAAAAATTAGCCAGGTGAGGTGGCGGGTGCCTGTAATCCCAACTACCCAGGAGGCTGAGGCTTGAATCCGGGAAGCAGAGGTTGCAGTGACCCAAGATCTCAGGATCTCCCCACTGCACTCCAGCCTGGGCGACAGAGCCAGGCTCCATTTCAACAAAACAAGAACCCAGGGGGAAGGTGCTCTTTTCAGCTCTGGACACAAGTGGTCGCTGTGACCTCACCTGTGCATCAGGTTGTCATTGACAGCAACACCAGGTTTCCCCTACCCCGGCCCAGACCTGGAGCTCAGCTCTCTCCGCCCACCTACCCACTGGTCTCTGAGCCATTCCTCAAGGGTGAGAGACACAGGTCGGCAGAGATCTTAAGGCCCCGTATAAACACTGGACAGTCCTTGACCTCTAGGCCCCTGTGTTCATTCAGCCACTCAACAAATACTTTCTGAGCACACGACTGGTGACAGCGGTGGACAGAACAAAACCTTGCCCTCGAGAGAAACAACAAACAAAAAACAAGAAAAATAAGTCAATTGTATAGTATATCACATGGTGCTAAACGCATATACGTAACTAGGAGAGACGGAAGCGTTCGAGGAGGAGATACTCTGGGAAAGGTGCAGAGTGAGGCAGAGGGCACAGGGTGGGTTGAGGGGGGAGGTGGGAATCAGGGGAAAGTGCTCCTGGCAGGAAACAGCAGTGCAAACTCTGAGACTGAGGGAGAAAGCAGAGGGGGCAAGTGGAGGAGACGTGAGAGGGAGAGGCAACCTTGGCTTGTCTTTGGTTCTGAGCACTGCAGAAGCCATGGAGGATATTTGAGCAAAGGAGGGATACTGATCACCCCTTTATTCATGCAGCAAACATTTCCTGACGCCTCCTTGGAGCTGGCGGGCCCTGCGCAGGGCTGTGGGGCAATGCGGCTGAGTCAGCCCCGGTCCCTGCCCTCAATGGGCTCCCTGTCTGATGGCAGAGGTGGGCAGGGACACTGGCAAATCAAGACCCGGAGGGATACGTGCCACCGTGGGGCTTAGGAGGGACACAGGGGAGGCCCGAGGTGGGGCTTCTAAGTCAGCATGCTATGTCATGGAATGCTTCCTGAAGGAGGTAATGTTTAAACCGGGAGCTGGAGATGAGTAAGAATGAGCACAGGAAAGGGTGAGACGGGGACAAATGTGTGAGGCAGAGAGAACGGCAGGCACAGAGGCCTGCAGGCACGGGAGCCCCGAGTCCTTGCGAGCTTTGCCGTTCTCCTTGTGCAGGATGGTGGAGGGGTGGCCCGCCCTCCATAAAGCACTGGA